ATGTACGTTCAATCTCCAGAATACTTTGATCACAACATTGTCTATAACAGTTTTTGAGTTCTGAAGTTTTACTGAGCTTTGGCAACTTGTGTTTTTTCAGTACTGAAATAACTACTCATAAAGGTGTTATATCAATGGTTTGGAGGAATATAAGGTTTTCTATTGAATTGTTACAAAATTGTTTTTGCTTTTCAAAAGAAGGATTGATGAAGTATTGACTTAATCCTACCTAGTGGAAGCAGCTAAGAAAGATTTCCACCTTGAAAGAGGTCTGCCTTAGTTTGTATGGAGACCAATGGTAATTTTAGAGCATGATTAGGAGAATAAGTTGTGCTATCAAAAAACACTGCTTTGGAATTATCACCTAGCATAGGAGCTCCTTGATCTTTGTTTTTTCATGTGAATCCATAATTGTGTAGTTCTTATCATCTTGGTGAAATTTGAGGATTGAATGTGATGCATTTTCTTCGTATTTGGATGAATAATCTTGTGAAATAGATTACTAGATATTATCAGTTGTCTGCATTATGGTTGCTGATAATTTGATTATATGATGAAACAAATTGGTTGAATTCATTTTTCACATTTATATCCAGAACTCTGTGTCACGGGAAGCACAAATAATGGTCCTAGTTGATCATCCCAATGTTCTTAAATCATACTGCTCCTTTGTCTGTGATTACAATCTATGGGTTGTCATGCCTTACATGGCTCAAGGTTCTTGTCTCCACATACTGAAGTCTGCTTATCCAGATGGTGTTGGAGAGGTTGTCATTGCAACAGTTCTACGTGAAGTGCTAAAGGGTTTGGAATACCTTCATGATCATGGCTACATTCATCGGGATGTCAAAGTAAGTCCATCTGTTACATAAATCCATTACTAGTTTCTTTTCATCAGCTTTTTTTTTTTAAAGAATTTGATGATATTACATCTTCAAGCATGAGATTTCAGTGTTAGAATTCTTCTGCTGTATTACATAGGGTGTCTATTGGACTTCTCTTTGGAGTTTGGACATGGAATCAAAGAAGAATATTTAGGATATATTTTGTGTTTTACATCTCATGCGAATATAACAAAGGACAAATTCTTTACTACTAGTGGTAATTTAGCAACTGCATGGACAGTTGAACATCACTAAGCTGTTCAGGACAATTACTTTTCTGGAAAATTTGGAACTTGAGGTCACCATACTTGTATGGTTATTGTAGGCTGGAAATATTCTCATTGATTCACGTGGTGGAATAAAGTTGGGAGATTTCGGTGTATCGGCCTACATGTTTGATTCAGGTGACAGGCAGCATATGCGGAATACATTTGCTGGAACTCCTTGTTGGTATACTTTAATTCAGAGATTGCTTCTGTCTTCTTCTCTATTCATCTTATGTAATGCATATAATAGTTGATAAGTGTTGAAGAACATTGGCATGTTTATACATAACACTGAGAATATTTTGCAATAGATATGTGTACATTGTGCACATTCAGAAACATAGACATTAAAAATACTGATAAGTTCAGATTCAAAGTACAAGTTGTTGTTTCTCCCTAATTTTAGATTTCTTTTACAGGATGGCACCGGAGGTCATGGAGCAAGTGCATGGTTACGATTTCAAGTATCATTTCTGTGTATTTGAATATTCTGATTTTCCTGTACTTTTACATTATATATTGGAAGTATTTTGTTTTAAAAATATATATTTTGAATGGTTCCCCACAGAGCTGATATTTGGTCTTTTGGCATAACTGCTTTAGAGCTTGCTCATGGACATGCTCCTTTCTCAAAATACCCTCCAATGAAGGTACTGACAGTCACATCCTATTTATCCTTTCCTTGAGGAACCTTTTTGACCACAAATGCATTGCATGTTTTTCACTTTGCAGGTGTTGCTAATGACATTGAAAAATGAACCTCCACGCCTTGATTCTGAGAGGGACAGGAAGTTCTCGAAGGTATTTATCAAACTATCAATGTTTATCCTTCAATAATGTTGTTAACGTCAGTGCAATTCTTTTTTCCTTCTCAGTCCTTTAGGCAAATGATTGCTAGTTGCTTGGTAAAAGATCCTTCAAAAAGGCCTTCAGCCAAAAAGTTGTTGAAGCATCCTTTCTTTAAAAAAGCTAGGTCCAATGATTATGTTGCAAGAACATTGTTGGAAGGCTTGCCATCTCTTGGTGATCGCATGCAAGAATTGAAGGTCTGTTGCCATTCCACAATAAGATTCATAATTCCCTCCTTTTTGAGGACATATATGTTTCCATCTAAATGACAACTTAGCCTCAGTATTGCTATGGAAACAACAACCTTTTCTTAATTGTAGAGGAAAGAAGAAGAAATGCTAGCACAAAAGAAGATGCCAGATGGGCAGAAAGAAGAAATGTCACAGGTTGGTGCGCCATAACCATATTATTTTGCTATGCTTTTTACCTAATATAACATCATTTTCCATACAGTTCCAATAGATGTACTTCTAGGAATTTAAACAATACCACACCTATGTTTTCCCAGAAAAAGCTTCATGAGAATTTTAGGATTGCCACTTTATGGGAAAAGCCTTTTCTTAACTTGGAGGTTACTATTTGATAATTCAACCCAGACAAAGATCTATAGTTCTAAGATACAACTTCTAGCTTAGAGTAAAATAGAAAAGAACTTAACTACGTCTGATACAAGAAATATGAAGAATTACGCTTAAAGCAAAGAAAAAAAACAAACTTAAAATCGTAATTGTTCCCTGCCGTTTTTCTTGTTTTCTGGCCTATAGTTAAGGTACATGTTTTGAAAGTCCCTTTTAACATTATAATTTGAACCTTACTCTGCTTCAACATCACGTGCAGAATGAATATAAACGCGGGATTAGCTGCTGGAGCTTTGATGTTGAAGATTTGAAGGCACAGGCTTCCTTGGTATTTGAACCTATATTTTATTGCACTCGTACTAATAAAAATTTCATACAAGTGCTTTAGCCTTTGATTTTCGATAAGAAATGCATGTGAAGAGGGCATAGTGGCGCTCAGGTTTTCTCAAACACAAATATGTCAAGTCTTTTAAAATTTAATGATTCACCTTCGCAACTTGCTACAAGACGACTTCACATCTGAATTATCTTTCGCGGATTTTTTCCCGTAAAAGCAAGGGATATAAATGCAAGTTTGCAACCAATATCTTTTTTCCCCTTTTTACTTTTAGATTCCAGATGAGGAAATTATTGGTGAGAATGACCACGGGGGGAGTTCAGATGCGCTCGCAGGGCTTGACAACCAAGGAAACCGGCTTCAATATCAGTTATCTTCGCTAGAACTTCCAAAGCTTCAGTATCAAGTCTCCTTTGGAAGTCAAAGTTCAGATGCTACAGGATTCGTATGTCAATGTTCCCTTTGGTTTTATATGATAGGGAGCTATTTTTGGTCTCTCCTCCTAATAATACATCTCTCAACAGGATGGTAACAATCCATCTGCTCCTCCTTCGCCTGCTGACCGCACCATGGATTATAGCAGGTAAACAATCTTATGTTGAGACTCTAACAAGCTGCTTTTGCGTCATGCTGTTTCCTAATTCAAAGGACCTACCAAATTTATATTATACGGTGGCATTATTACTTTGGCTAAGATGCTTAACTATACCTATTTCATCTTTTCAGACCTAAAAATGAGAAGGTTGATGACGATTTAAGCATTGCTAGTTCATTCCATGAAGCTCAAATTTCACAAAATTCTTCTCCATGCCAAGAGGAGATGAATTTTGTGGGAAAAGGTGAACAAAAGAGTTATGCAGAAACATTTGAGGGGATTCCCATAAATTCTTGTCAAAGGTATGACATTAATTATCTCAAAACTCCCTTGACTATTTCGCCGAGGTGGTCTATCTCCAGTCCGAGGATGCTAAACATTTTCTGTGTGAATTTTAAACCTTATGTTGTAGCATCTATTAGCTTCAGCATTTTATATTTCTTGACTTACTAAGTATCAGCTCTTTGTTTTTCCAAAAGTGACTACTTTGACTGGGATTCTGCTCTGATCTTAATACATTTGAATAGAGGATACAAGTGACTCTTGGATATCCATTCCCTGCTAGATAAGGAAATAAAATATGGTTTCCAAATTGCTTTCTCCAACATCGGGAAAGTTTGCAGTGCATAGCTGACTAGTGGATTTCGTACCACATTTCATATCCCTCTTGCAACAATGTCTTACCACCAACTCCTTGTAATGCTTGTGAGCCTCGAGTACCTCTAAGGCTCTAACATCATCAAGCCTTGGATATTGTGAACTATGAAAAAGAAGGTTATACCAATTATTGATCTACCTCTGTAATGATTAGGTAGCAAATCAGAGGCCATTACCAAACGCTTAAAAGATCAGAAAATTTTCAGTTGAAATTGTCTCCACTTGTTAGACTGAAACTCGGACTACTTTCCAGAGTGATTTTCATTGGATTAAAGCTAGATTCTTTGCTAAATTACTGATTTTCAGGCAATTAAGTAGGTAAAAGAGTGAAATGCCTGGGGCAATTTATTTACAATTTTCTTTAATAAATTTATTTTGATATGCTTTTGTTAACTGCAAAATTCTTGTTAGTATACAAATTTAGTACATTGTTTCCTAATTCCCTTTACTTAAAGTCATTTTCTATTTGCTTATTTCTTTAGTTTGATAAGCAACCATTTTCTGTGGTACCACTTTTTTTCTGCAGAGTTTCTAAATTTGTCTTTTCTTTTCTGTATGTAGTGATAAAAGTTCATCCCAAAATGTATCCAGTTGCAATGTGGCTTTTCCTCAAACAGCTGATGATTTGCCAGCTGAAGTATCTAGTAAACATTCAAGAACTTCAGGCAAGTTATAATGATACAGCATGTATTATTGATCTTATAAACACACTTTCATCTGAGTACATTCTGGAGTTTATTTGTGTAATATTTGCTTGCTAAATAAAGACTTTATTTAGCCGGTAGCGGTGAAGATTGTGAGGAGAAGATTAAGTATCAAGTTGTTCAGCAGAAAGGACGATTTAAAGTTACCTCTGAGAATGTTGACTTGGAAAAGGTGAATGTAGAGCACTTAACTTTATCTTAATAATAATGCTGAATCTCCCTTGAACTGGGGAATCGTTTCATACATCTTTTTCTGCAGTTAATTCATTTCCAAAAGAGGAACAGCATGGAGGTTTGTTTTTGACAGCATTCCCTCCCCTCTCTGTCTTTTGTTCTCTCTCTAAGAAATAGTTTTCTTAGCTGGTAAACAGATATGATATAAGTGATCTCATTTGGTATCTCTGCTTTAGTGGATGTTCGAAGTATTCAAGAATCTCTCTAGTTTTGTAGTGGCTAATGTTGTTCTCATCATTGATAAGGACTGTGTTGCTAGATTAAGTTTGCGTATCATTTGAGCTCTGGAGTAGTGAATGTCATTCTCATCAGTGACAAGCATGTCTCTTCATGAATTTTCACTGATATTATAACATTTAATTCATTCTTCAGGGCTGTTTAATTAATTCCATTGCATCAAATTATTTAATATTTTGAAATTTGAGCTTTGGGATTGAGTTATTAATGCAGTGTTAGAGTATGCAAATTGCTTTGTAATGTATGATGAATCAGAAACATATAGATAAAGGGCTATAAACTAGTTGCTAATTCTTAAAGTCTAGTAAACCACTGATCTTATCTTCACTTTCTCTTTTCCATTTTCTTTATTGTATTTATGAAAAGAAGTTATGGATTATGCAGGCGACTCCAGAAAATCTGACTGCTACTCAACCATTGCCACTTGATCCTACACCAGCAAATCATTCTTCCCAGTCCATATTTCCAGTGTTGCAAAATGCTTTACAGGCAACTATTATTGGAAGAGTAAGAATGGATCTAAAATTATGACTTGCTAAGATTTTCTGTTCTGCTTAGAAACTTTGTAAAACTGTTTTTACTCTAACAGGAGAGTATTCTTAGTGCAATGAGGCAAGTGACCGACTCCACAGGTGCGTAGCAATTAATGCCTCTTGAATTTTTGTGTATCTTATCCATATAAAGGGTCTAACTTCATTTGTTCATCTAACCTTGCCATGGATGCAGGATGTATTCTATCAAATTCAGCTGGAGTAGAGAAATCACTGGTATGGATTTGTACTAATCTTGTTGCGACATCCTCCGCAAATTCAATCATAACCAGGAATTACTGTTTTATAATTTCTCTTGTTTCTTCATTTTTTGGGGGATCCACCATACTATATGACATCCTTCTCTTCTCCGTAGTTGGAGGCAGCTCTTGACAGGGAGAAGGATTTACATCGTGAAGTTGCTGATTTACGATGGAGGTATTATGATTATACATTAATCTTGCCTGTTAATTTTGGATATTATAAATAGTGGTCTTGAAGCGTCTGTTTACTTGATATGTAGGCTTGAGCGTTCCCAGGAAGAGCTTCAAAAATATAAAACAGAAAACAAAAGCCCAAAGTGACATACATTTGCGCGAAGTCTACATCAATGTGTAGGAGATAACTGACTTTGTAAATGAGATACCAGAGTTAACAGATTTAAATTTCATCCCACTTTTAGGGTGAAGGTATGGGCTGCTCTCCAACTGAGTTGCACTCCAGCACTAGGGTTGCCTTTTTCCCTTTTTTTTTTTTTTTTTTTACTTGTTTCTGCTTATTCTTGTTTTACCAGGCTGATTTGAGTACATGTTGAAGTTTTAGAGAATATCATCCTTGGTGATATTAATTCATATTTCTATTTAAAACCTTTACAAGAATTTTCCCCGTTTTTCTTGGTTGCGCCATCGGAAAGATTGTCGTGGGAGGTGGTAGTCTTTGCAATTTAAAATACTTTTTTCATTAAAATGTATTTCTACACGTAGTTTCAGCAGCTAAATTAACCCCAGTTAACACTGGACCACTCGAATGGGTTGAGATTCTTCCATTTTTTGGTGACTTGAATCTCTCTTGCTAACAATTATCAGGCTTCTCCGCTAGTTCGTGCCACGAGGTATTTTCCTTGTCCCTGGTTCAACTTTTCGCGTAAAAAACACTAGGAGCTGAGTTGAAGAAATCTAAGTGCCATGGGATGCTTAGCTTCAGAGAGTTGATCAGGCTTTATAATTTCCACAATCTCCCCATCAACCAACAGGCACACTATATCAGCTATTCTCTGTATTTGCTTGATGCTATGAGAAACTATCACAATTGTCATCATCTGATCCTTCCTCAGCTTCACTAGAACATCCTCGATATTCTGTGTTGATATTGGATCTAATGCACTAGTTGGCTCATCCAGTAGCAGAACCTTAGAAAAGATGGAACAATAGGTCAGACAGAGTCCTCTTTTCAGTTTTAAAATGAGTTATATTTGTGTCTCAGTCACCTCTGGTTCATTAGCTAAGGTTCTGGCAAGTGCAACTCTCTGTGCTTGACCAACAGATAGTTCCCCACCTGACTTGTAGAAGAAAGATGAGTCTAGATCAGCCAAAGTCAGCAACTTGTAAACCTCATTATCACTTAATTTCTTTCCCTTGAGTTTTGGCCCGTAGCGTATATTATCTGCCACTGTACCTACAAATTTATGAATCAAGCATAAGTAGTTACTGAAATTGTTTCAGACACGAAGTATGATCTTTCAAATTGGTCAAGTTCGCGTCTGTCTAGTTTACTAATAGGCTCGCGTTTTTAGTTTGATCTTAGCAATTTAACAACCATACCTTCAAATAGAACTGGAAGCTGGAACAACATGCCAACTTTACGACGAAGACAGAGCACATCCAGATCACAAATATCAGTACCATCCAGAAAAACAGTGTTTTTAGGGGGTTCCCATAATCGGTTTAGTGCTCGTAAAATTGTTGATTTTCCACTACCACTGGGGCCAATAATCCCCATGATTACTCCTCTTGGTATGTCAACTCTAACACTCTTCAGTATAGAATCACCCTTATCTGATACCTTGTTCAGTCCCCTGATCTCAATCTTAGTTTCTGCTGCACCTTTAATATCATTCATTTCCACTGCTAGTAGATGCCCTCTTTCTCCTGCTCACCATCGTCACAGATTTCAAGAAAAAAAAAGACTATACGAGTCTAAAGTCCAATTAGATAAATTCATCATTCATCAACAAAACATTTTTGACTTACTTAGCAGGAAAATATTCTATGTTAAAGCATTTTGATGAACATTAAAAGAATGGTTAGAGGTAGCAGATATTCATAAAATTAGTCGAGGCACACCCAAACTATTCCAGGTACTATAATTATATAAAATATAAAATTAAGTAAATTGAGTACTGAAATGACCAACAAATATTGTGGCATGGGACATAATACTATCCTTCCCTTTCTTAATCAGAATTCTCGAAATTTGATTATGGGCAATAAAATTGTCTCTAGTGGAAGCACCTTCCACCAAACGTGAGATTTTTCATGGCGAATCCGAATTAATCTAAGGCCCCCCCAAAAAGTCTTGAAATGGATAACTAGATCTTTTTTATTATTATAACACTAGAATCATATAGATGATGAGTTTTGCTTCAACGAACCTTGTGAAATCTCCAAGGAGTGTGAGCTATGGAGCTGAGGACTAATTTTGCTCCAATTTTGTGATATCTCCATGGTATGTGAGTTATCAAACTGAGATTCAGTGTAGTCACTTAATTATCTGCACACAAGTACTAAATGAAAGAAAGATAAGTCTTTTTGGTTTTATCTCGTGTAATGAGACTTTTTAAAAGTATTATAGGACAAATATACCTTCCCTAGTTCTTCCTCAAGTTTAGTAACTGTCATGTCATAAATATTGATTTTAACACGTAATTGTTTTGTTTAGTTTAGGTAGAAATGTCAATAATAGAAGAAACAAGAGCTCTCAGTGGGGATACTCAACAAGCACAAAAATAGACAAAGACCATTGCATGGGATTCTAGGCTGTTTGGTTGGAAACAAGTTATCTCATGATTAATTATCTTGTAATAACTTCTCCTATTATTATAGTATAAATGGTGGAATAAGCCGATAAGTTATCCCAAACATGACAACCAAATAAGACAATAAAATTTCATCCTAATACTATTTATTCTTATTTCTCACACCAAACGACTATAAATGTCCTTCCACTTTGGCTACTCGATCCTATTTTTGTTTACCTAATTTGATTAAGAAAAAAGAGTGGTATTTTGTGCAGCTTGTGTGAATGAATGGACCAATGTGAACTGTTAATTAGGGTACTGTGGACCAGTGAAATGTAAAAATAGATTTGTACATCGAGAATTTGTTCAAAACCATATAAAAAGATAATTAATTCTATCACCAATTGATATGGGAGACTCCACACACCCACTGGACATCTAAAGTGAGCATAGTATAAGATGACATGGAGCCTGACCTTCCTTGATAGCATGACAAAAAATGAAAGATAAAATTAATTCTAACTCCAAAATTAGTACTCCCTTTGTCCTAATTTATATGAATCACTTTGTTTTTTAGTCAGTCCCAAAAATAACATATTCCTACATTTAGTAATAATTCAAATTTTAAATGTCAATTTTACCTTTAATAAAATGGTTTACAACCTCACAAACAAATATAACTTATTTTAGACCACAAGTTTCAAAAGTCATCATTTTTTTCTTAAATTTCGTACCGAATCAAACTAAGTCATATAAATTGAAACGAGGGAATAGTAAATTTTGTAGTAACACCTCTTTGACACGAAAGTCAAACTAATTGGATCTAATTTTCATCTTTTACAGCGCCGCTTTATCTTTCCATCCGCAGTTCATATCTATAGGGAAAATCTGACTACTTATAATATAGTTTTTCTTGAAATTTTTGAATTTATCCATCTGATAATATAAGATTTATGACCTCATGAAGCCACATTTTGTTAATACATCACATTTTATATTGTGCATATATCAGTGTATATCACACAAGTTTTCAGGGATATATGTATGATATGAGGAGATAAACGAGTATATACATTATGGTATAGATTGATATACAAAAATGTGTATATAAAGGCTACAGGTACAGTGTGCCAATTTTATAAGTCCAAGTTGATATGTTGTGCTAATTTTTCCAAACATTACTGTGGTTACAAAGTTTTTGAAAGGAAGGAGGAATTTATGACTTCCTAACTTTTGTGTTAATTCTTGAAAAAAATAATTAATTTTTCTATTTAGATTTTGTTGTCTAATTACCAAATTGATAGGAATTTATGACTTCCTAACTTTTGTGTTGTCTAACCAAATTAATCGGCTAGCTAGAGAACTGAAAATCACGCTTTGAATCTTGCTCATAATTTTTTTATGAAACATGTATATGAGTAGTATGTGAATTTAAAGAGCCCAACTCTACCTTCCACCTCTCCAATATTGATGGCCACCCTAATTCTCTTTCTATTAGTAGTGAGAGTGACCACCGCCTCCGGGCACCCTCCCTATTATACTATTTCTATCTCGATCGGCCTTCCAGCTAAAAGTTATTTTTTCGTTCATTTTTTACTTATCAGGTTTTGATTCACGATAGTCAATTTAAGTGATTTTGAAGTATGTCAAGTAATATGCATTGTCTTAACGTTGTACTATTGCCTTGACATGACACACTCTTCCGGTTAAACTTGTCATGCACTCTTCTACATATGTCCATGGCCCGATGCAACTCATAAACATTAGGTACTTTCATCTCAAATATTTTTGATACAGAATTTGAAAAAAATATATTATATAAATGTTAGATTTGAACTCTTATTTTATAAGTACAATATAAATTAGATTGAATTTTTTTTTTATAACTATTGAATATATTAAATTTTGGCTCCAACTCTGTCTACCTCATTAGTTACTCTCTTTTTTTCCATTTCTTGTTGCATGGGCATGAGAATGTTACCCTTCAACACAATTTAGCATTTGGTATGATGATTAATTTCACAAATTTAAAGGTAAATTTAGGTTTCCCACCTTTTTATTTCTGCACAGTTTCGTTTATGTGGTAATTTAAAATAGTTAGCACATGTATACATAAATATGTCAACTGAAGCCTCGTTAAAAATGAAAGGTATGTGATAAGTTTTAATAATGATGAGGTTATTTTTTAAACGATCATTTAATGAAGGGCATGAATAAGTAATATTAAAAAAATCATGGAAAATTTTGATTTCCCTCCAAATATAATTGGTAAATAATCACCTGGAGTTTTTTTAAAATAGTAAAATGGCTGATAATCTTTTTGATGTGTTTAAAAATGAAGATACTATTATAATCTATTTTATCTAATACATTTCTACAATGTTTTTTAAAGTTTAATATAAGAATATTAATTCTCCAATACACTTGTTCTAACAAAATCATTTTTAAAAAGTAGCTTAACCATTGTAATGGGATTATTTTTTAAAGCGATCTTTTAATTGCAGACATAGAAATAATATTACAATTTTTTTCCTAAATTTAATTGTTTTCCTAAATTTGATTGGTAAATGAATCATATATTGCGTTATCATTACGAATGTAATTTTGGATAATCTTTTATTTTTTTATAATAATATCGTTACAAATGCAATTTTGATAATCTAATATATTTTAAAAAATAAAGTTTAAGGTAAAATAATCAATCCTCCACTATACACTTGTTCTAACGATATCATTTTTAAAAAGTAGCTTAAACATTGTAAAGAGGTTGTTTTAAAAACGATCTTTTAATGGAGGACATACAAATAATATTACAAAAAATTAAGAAAAAATTATTTTTTTCCTAAATTTAATTGGTAAATGAATCATATGTTACACAAAATTTTATACTAACATCGTTATGAATGCAATTTTGATAATCTTTTTTAAAAAATTATGATAATATCGTTATCGATGCAATTTTGATAATCTAATATATTTTGTAAAAAAAATAATTAGTCCTCCAATATAAACTTGTTCTTACAAAATCATTTTTCAAAATTAGTTTAAACACAATATTTTCCTCAAAATTGTACTCATAATACTCAAAAACTAAACAAAAAAATTAATTAAAATGCAAAAATCATCCTTCAAAACATATCACACCCACTCTCAATAATTATTACAAACGCTCAGGCCTCACTAAACACCCAATAAACAGTCGCGTGTTGTAACAAGAGAGAATGAGAGCGTGGCTACTGTAAAATTTTATATCAATTAACGAAAACAAATAAATAAATAAATTTTATTCAGTATATAATTCAGAAAAAAATAGCAGAAAAAGAAGAAAAAAAATTAATCAGACAGAAAAGAAAAAACGAAAAAAAGAGTCCGATTCAGAGAGAAGGAAGAAGGCGAGTATATATCGATCAGAGAAATAAAGAAGGGAGTTGGGTCTTCCAATTTCTAATTCAAACCGGTGAATTTTTGCAATAAATAGAGCAAAAGGGAAAATCAAAATGCGGAACAATGTTGTGGAGCAATGGAAGAAGAAGCTGTATGGGTTTCAATGAACAAATAAGAGTGGGAGAAGCATTTGTTTTTTTCTGAATCTGAATTTTGAATCAGTTTCAGGGAGCTAAATAAGGTATGCCAATTTACTTCGTTGTGTTTGAGAACTTCAATTTTTCAAGCCGGGTAAGCTGAATCTTTTTTTTTGAACCCAATTTGCTGCAGAATAAATTTGAAGTTGAAGTGGGTAACTTGAAGTTCGGTATTTAAGCAGGAGGTGGCATTTTGGGTTTGTTTTAGGTGAATTATTGGGGATTGGAGTTTATTGAATTGGGAATAAAGCTAAGGGTTTACTTCGAATTTCAGGGGATATTTGTATTTTGATGGAAATGGAGGGTTTCGCTGTGTTAAAGTTTTGATTTTGGATATTGGGTTTGAGGTTTCTTGAACGTGGAATTTTGATTTTTTTTTTTTAGGATTGGGATTTTCGGAGGGAGAGTTGGTTGAAAATTTGGATCTCTGATTTGGAACTCAACCCCTCCTATCCTTAAACTGTTAAAAGTTAGAGGATTTGAGATGGGTTTAGATACGGCAATGCTGGGATTGGGATTTAATGTTGTTTCTGTTATGTATTTGTGGAATTATGGCAAAACCCTAGTTTAGTGGTGAATTGGGTTCTTATCATTGGTCTTCTGTTTGTTTGAGCAGTGGAAAGGTTGAATTTTTGGCTTGTTTTTGGTGGAATATATGTATTGACGGAGATGCAACCGCCACACCAGCATTCCCGGATTAATCTTTCTGAATTGAAAGCTCAGATAGTGAAGAAACTTGGACCTGAGGGTTCAAAGCAGTACTTTCATTACTTAAGTAGGCTATTGAGCTTGAAGATAAGCAAGGCTGAGTTCAATAAGCTTTGTTTTAGGATCTTGGGGAGAGAAAACATTCCGTTGCATAATCAGTTCATTCGTTCTATTCTGAGAAATGCCTGTAGTGCAAAAGTTCCTCCACCAATTAATGAAGGTGGTATTGTGAAGCCTGGTGTAGCGGTTGGCAGTAAACAGCCCTTAGATGATGCTTATGACCAAAATGGAGTGCATGTTTCTTCAAACCAGGCTTCAGGTCAACCGGGTTTGTCCAATGGTGCCGTGTTGCCATTATCTCCTCGGAAGGCCAGGACAGGATATCGTGATCGTAAGGCTGGGGATCGTCGTAGTGTGCTTGGATCAAATGGGAAGAATAGTTTTGCTTTTCAACAAGCAACTACGATGGAATCAAGTGATTTCGAAATTATTAAGGAAAATGGGGATTTGAATCCACCTAATTTCAAGGGTGCGGTGCATCACCATCAAGGAACCATACAGCAAATAGATGATGAAAGGCAGGGATTCAATCAAGAAACTGCCAAATTTTCTGTTATGAAAAGATCACTGCAAAATTCAGTATCTTTACAGAACAAAGCAGACAAATCTAGAGATGATGGAAGAGATCTGCATGCTAGGAGTCAACTCCAAGCTCCCCTTGGGGTTCCATTTTGCCCCGTTAGTGTAGGTGGAGCACGTAGATCAGTACCTTTAGCAGCAAGTAGTAGATGTGTTAGCTCTTCTAGTTTTGGTGCTTTGTTGGACAGTGTAACTCTGAGGGAACGAATGGAGCAGATTTCTGCAGAACAGGGCCTTGATGGGGTGGCCATGGATTGTGCCAATCTGTTGAACAATGGTTTGGATTCTTACTTAAAAGGTTTAATCAAATCTTGTCTCCAATTTGTGGGAGCAAGGTCAGGGAATGAACCTACAACCATCAACACCAAGAAGCAACAAACTTATATGAAGCTCGTAAATGGTCTCAGACCAGGTCATCATTTACAGATGAATGGTGGTAGATTGTCAGAAGCTGTGCACGAACATGCTCCTGGTAACCTGGTATCATTGCAAGATTTTAGGGTTGCCATGGAGCTGAACCCCCGGCAACTTGGTGAAGACTGGCCACTGCTGCTGGAGAAACTAACACATGCAGTTGAGGAATAAGACGTGCACTTTGCTGTCTTCAGGTCAAGCTTTTACCAGTCCCAACTGGATCAGAGGGCACAGTTCTTTCCAAGTTTTGTGCAGTCACTCTGCTACAGTTTTCTTTACGGCCTTTTGATCCAGTAAACAGCTGTTGAGGTCAAACTTTGTCTCTTTCAAGGTGATAAGGACAAGATCCAGGAATCTTTGTTTGACCTGCTGCAGGGCCTTAATTTTGGCCAGAGGCATCCCATTCGTTAGCAACCACTGGAAGGGACTTGAAAAAAGAATGCCCCTGTTGGTTGCACTGTTGTATCATTAGCATAATTCTCTCTAGGTATCTGCATTCTCCTGTAATTTATGGTCAATGAGCAAATTTAGAACAGTTTTGCAGGAATAAATGTCTAGCCTAGTACTTCAGCTGAAAGGTGAAACTGAATGATGCACTAGCTGAATGTGTATGTATCTTCAACATCAAAATTGATTGGAACCTCAACATTAACAATACATTTTTCCAGTAGCTTAATTGAGCTTATAGATTTTTTTTTTTTTTTGTGGAATTGAAATTTATGCCTATGGCTGATTTTTGTGTCTATCCTCTTTACTTTCTTATTGCACCAAAGAACTAGAACTTCATTGTTTGAGCCTCCGCAACAGGGTCATGCAAGCTGGAATAACTCTCAATTTACTTGACTTGCCGTTTGACTTCATTAACTTCTTTGTTCTTCTTGATTGCTAGAAGCACCAAGTATCTGATCTTTCAATTTGCTTATAAATTGTGGGATTGATGTAATGTCCCTCTTTGCATGTGAAGCATATTAGTTGTAATATATTTGCATAATCAATAGGATTGAGGACAGCTTTGTCCAGATACAGTAAAGCATCCAACTCTGTTTGTCCTAGTCCGTGACAAGGAATAGGCTCATTGAATACTTCAATGAGATGCAAGCCTATTTTACTACTAATTGGTAACTGTGTAATAACTTGGGTACTGGCTTTAACATATTGCAGATTCTATATTTGTCCATTTCCTAAAAAAAATTGTGTTTCCGTTCAAGTTCTTGAGTTACATTGCTGTATTGTATTCTTCTTCTTTTTCACTAAAATTTAGGAAGTTTCCAGTCTGTCAGGAGTTATATTAGACTAAATTCACTTAGTACTGAGGATTTTTCATGCTATAGAATTGACCAGTGACTGGAAGTGTTGTGTGATTGACAGCGTTAGCTGTTACTTTTGTTATCGTGTCTCAGCTTATATATTTTCTTTAATCACATATATAAGTTTTGGCTCAATGTATTTTACTCTCAAGATGTATCATTGCTCCTTATTCAATGTGGTTTGTGTAGTCAGAGAATCTCAACAGGGAGCTGGTCTTGACAACAAGTTCAAATCATATCCTCAATTGGAGAATTTACTATATCCTACGGAAAACATAGGTATCAGTGGTAGGTTGACCGAATGAGGGTAAAAAAGAAAAACTGATAGGCAAGTAAACAAAATAACTTGTTGTGAAAATGCAATAAAAAGTTGGAAATAAAGACGATATTAGTCCCTCTTGCTGGGCTGTGAAATTGATGCTGGTTATAGAACAAGTATACCTACCAGAAAGTGCAAAGGTCAGAAATAAGTTTATATTTTTACCTCTCACTGCTTTTATATATCGTTGCTTTGACTTCCTGAATTGAACTAATATGCATAACTTTTCTGGAAACCTAAATAATTACTACTTTCTTTAGACACACGCTCATGCAGACACACACACACAGGTATGCATGGAGGCATTATATATAGAGACAGTATATATACATTTGCGTGTAAGCATTTGTTTCCTTTTTCTTAGTTCATGATCTTTATGTGTAGCATCTTTCACCCGTTATCTCTTATGTTCTTTTCCAAATACAGGCAGGCCTTCCACATTGATAGACATGTTTCTAAGCTGTACACAATCCGGACACCAGTAAGTTCACTACACTGCCTGCCAATGATCAACCGTTTTTGCACTTTTTTCGTCTGTGAATTTGTCAGTTAAGGATTTATTTTTTCAAGTTTTCCCGTCCTTCAATAGTTTCGTGGAAGTGTAATTATGGGATGTAAATACCTTTTGCTAGGATTTATTTTTTCAAGTTTTCCCGTCCTTCAATAGTTTCGTGGAAGTGTAATTATGGGATGTAAATACCTTTTGCTAGGATTTATTTTTTCAAGTTTTCCCGTCCTTCAATAGTTTCGTGGAAGTATAATTATGGGATGCAAATACCTTTTGCTCCAATTGTCAAGGAGGAAATTAAGAATAAAAAAGAGATTTCCACTTTAGTTCGGAGAATCCTTTGTACATCATTGACTGGGTGCTCCTCCCTTTAGTTACTAGCTCTTTTTTGCTAGTTTGCCTTTAGTTTGGATGTAATCAGCACTTTCTTAGCGCTTTTTTTTTTTAACATCAATAGTGCTTACTACTTCAAAAAGAAAAGAAGGAATAAAATGATATTTCCCTTTTCAGTTTGCAGGAGTTTAATTATATAATTAGCATTTTAATTTTTAAAAGAAATTTGCACCCCACAAATTTCTATTTGTTCGAGTATGTAAATAAAATACGATTCAAGTAATAAATGCCCAAATAAAGTAAAAGTGTATATGAACCATCACAAATCAGCAATTTATAACATGAGTTATTATTAAGCAAAGGAAGTGAAAATATATTAATACTTGTATTAGCTTCATAGAGTGCTGCTTACAGAAATGGAAAAGTAGGCAAAGATAATGTAGGAACACGTGTAATATCATCACTAGGAGATGAGAAAGGTGAAGGATTGGGGGTCTGGAATTTAAAAGTACATAAGAGCTTGATACTCAAATGACTTTCGAGATTCTACATGGATGGTAATAATATCTGGAAGAAGCTGATGCTATATAAATAGTAAAGAGGTTAGGCGGAGTGCTCCTCCGCTTCAATCAAATGCTAAAAGTGAATTTTGGAAGGATATTTGTAGGCTCTGGGAAGAGTATATGAAATATGCTAAATTGAAGGTTGAGAATGAGTGCAAAATAAATTTCTGGACAGATGTTTGGGCGGGAGATGAAAGCCTGAAGAATAGATTCCCTTGTAATTGTTCCATTAATAAGAATGGTACTACTGCTGAATTTCATTCAGATTCAGGTTGGCGGATCAATTTAGAAGGAATTTGAATGACTGGGAACTGGAGGACTTTTGTCAGATACTTCAACAACTGAACTCAGTCCAGCTTGATCGGAGTCAGGTGGATTCTTTGCTGTGGACAGTCAATAAAGGTAAAAAAAATTCAGTTAATAGATGCTATACTACACTGTTGAAGCAGTCAGGTAATTGGGATAATACTCGGTTTTGGAAAATGATTTGGACAAGAAAAGCTCCAGTGAAGGTGGTTTGTTTGGGATGGACTGCAACCCGTGGAGCATATTTAACTCAAAACTATCTGCAGAAGAGGGTTTTTCTTTGTGCAACAGATGCTACTTATGTGAAGATGACCTGGAATCAATAGATCATCTATTTCTTCACTGCAGTTTCTCTAGACAATGTTGGAACCTATATCTAAACTTTCATGGCATCTTATGGGTAATGCTCAGAGATGTAAGAAGTTTATTAGAAAGCTGGAAATTCCAAAGGGTTCCCAGAATACTGAAGCAAATTTGGAAGACCATTCCACTTTGCATCTTTTGGACCTTATGGCTGTGGAGTCGAGAATAAATGCTTGCATTATCGATTTTCTGGTGTAATAGCAATCTGTTAGTTAATATGGACCAATACATGGATTTTCTGGAATTGTAGGAGGAAAAGAGTAATAACTTGTCTGCTTGGTCGTTGTATGAATCCTGTTTCCATTTGTACCAGCTTGGTACTTTTTCAATAAAATCTTACCTTATAAAAAAGAAGTATTGTCACTAAGGTAATTAGAATAACAAGTAGGCTTTTGCACCTAAACATCAGATTAACACATAGTAAACTAAACTGTTTCCATTGACCTGTTAAGATATATTATCACATATTATTTGTGTGTGTTTGAGTATTTCAGGAAATATGATCCACAACTTTTTGATCCAGTGAATATTGAAATAAAGTTTTTAAGTTATCAGAAGTAACTTGTATTATTTCTCAAGGGATGTGCTAGTTGGATTTCTAAGATCCTCTCTTGACATGCTACAGGCAGTCAAACAGGATGCCAGTTAGGTTATTAAGGATCAGGAACAAAGTAGTAACTGAGACCAAAAAAATTTAGGAACTAATGTTGGCATATTCTGCTTAATAGGTGATCTAGCGTTTGCACTGAAGCAGGTGGTTGGGGCAGAATTTGGAGAGTTAAAGAGGATTCTTTCAGGTGGATGTGAGTAGGGGTGTCAAAATCAAGCCCAATCCGTCCAACCTGCCCAACCCGTTCAACCCGTCCATTTATTAGCTCAACCCATTTCTGCCCAATCCATTTCAGCCCATTAAGTATTGGGTTCATATGCAACCCAAATTGACTCATGAGAAATTTTGTCAAAATATTTTTAATTTTTTTTTATATGTTATACAGTCATAATAAAGATTTTTTTTTATTAGGTACTAAAAATCTATAAAACAACCAATAAAACAATTAAATCCAAGTAAGAATTGGGTGGGTTGGGTTATGACCCGCATTTTAGCCCAAGTAGCTTTTGGGAGGGTCAATAACCTGCACATTTATTAATTCAGCCCAATTTGACTGCCCAAATTCAGTCCAACCCGCCCATTTGACACCTCTAAATGTGAGTGTTCCCTCTATTGTAACGGGTATTCCTAAAGGACATTCTGAGGCTTGTAGCCATCACAACATGGCACAAAATCATTCCCTGGTAGTAGAGGCTTCACCAACCTTGATGTCTGTTCAATTTCATTTTCTTTTTGGTTCAGTTTCAAGCTCATAATTATTGGATTATGCCTAGTTATCTTTTCCCTCTAGCCAACCTTTGAAGGGAACACGTTTCTTTTTGTGAGTGAGGTGGGCTTGTGGAAGGAAGCAGTTAGGAAAGAGAAGTGTCAAGCTTACTAGACATCTCTTGTTGGTTGCTTGTCTTTGAGGGTGAGAAAGTGCAGAATCACTTGCGTCCTCCAGTACCTATAAGTTTTTGCTTGTATCTCCAAGTATGGGTTCAACGAAAGTACTTCAAGATTCTCCTTTAATTTTCTTTAGGTTGCCTGCTTGAATCCTTTTATTGATTCAATGGACTCCTGCAGCATGGAAAGGAATAAGTTTGCATTTGAGACAACATTAGTAAGAAAGTGTTGGACCCTATGTCGTGTCCAATGGGGATAGTACATGGATATTGGTTATGTAATATGTAGAAAACTAATCTAATTAAAAGCTATGACAGAAACTTGGCACTGACATCATTAGCCTATTAATTTTATTACCAATTAATCGCATTACCTACCATCCCATGCTCTCCACATTGAATTACATTATACACACATTCCCAAAAAAATAAAAATAGTCTTCTGTACATTTTTAAATTTTTTTTAGAGATGCTTGATATTCTGGCTAGGTTTGTCTTCCTTTTCATCTACTTCTCAAATTAGATTCCTTCTTTATGGGTTTAGTATTTCAATTTACACTTTGCATCCTACATGGAGAAAATGGAGAGACAACTTGTCTGACTAAGCATGATAATTCTTTCCAGACACACTGAGGTCAAATCTGTTGATAGTATTTCAATTTACACCTTGCATCGTACATGGAGAACACAGGGACAATAGTTGTCTGACTAAGCATGATAGTTCCCTCCAGACACACTGAGGTCATATCTGTTGATAGTATTTCAATTTACACATTGCCTCCTACATGGAGGAAATGGAAAAACGACAACTAGTTCTCGGATTAAGAGCCTGTTTGGATTGTCTTTTGACTTATGACTTATATCTTTTGACTTATTTTTGTTATACTTTGGCTTAAGAATAAGTGTTTATAACTATAAGCACTTCTTTATTTTATCCAAACACTACAAAACTGCTTAAAAGCTATTTTGGCTTAAAAGCACCTAAAATAAGCCAATCCAAACAGTCTCTAAGCATGATAATTCCTTCCGGACACTTTGAGGTCATTTCTGTAGATCATCAACGGAAGATCTGGAAAGAGGCTTTTCAACAACTTTGCCTTTTAGTAAAACCATCCTTCTACTGGTTCCAGCATTGCACAGTCTTGCATTTCCAATTTTAAAATGCTATGATCACTTTAATATAACATTTTTTTAGAAGGTAAAGTAATTTTATAAATTAGAACAATGCAAAGGAAGTGCTATTGGGGACTGTGCAATCTAGGAAAAGAACAAACAACAAAAATGTGCCCCATCTAATCTTGTAGGGATTCTAATGTTTGTAGATCTGTTTCAGCCTCATTTATGTGTTCCATCCTACACTATAAGCGAAACAAAAATATACAATTAGACTTTATCATGTTGGCGGAGCTCGCAGAATCTTCAAAACATCTTCTATTTCTTTCCGTCCAGACAGTCCGCCAAATACATGCAGGTATAGTATTCCACCATAGTAGCTTCCTCTTCCTTGGGCCTTTTCTGGCCAGCACTTCAGTAGATCATTTATTGATCCTGGCATGATCTGTTGCAATGCAATCATTTAGGCTTCCACAATTGCATAATTACTCTGAATGTCTCTCACACAGAAAGCACTTGCTACATAGGTCAGAGCCTCTTTTTGGAGATTCTCACGAATGAGACAAGCTTCTTTACACATTACCATTTAAATCAAGCTACCTTGAATGGAGCTTTGGATCTCCAGATCTGTTTCCATGGCAAAGGACTTGGTAAGTTCTCCGGTTTTGTTAAAATTTTGTAGCATGATCTCACTGTGAGCAGACCCTTTTTTCTAGGGATCCATGTTATGTTGCCTTCTGTATTAGTGTGCTGCTGATGTGTTCAAAAGACTGAAAAAATCAACAGCCCAGTTTCAACTGTCATAAGCTGGCTCTCTCATCTTGCTCTTGTCCAAGCTAGTTACGCAATTGCACGTTGCTTACTTGGTTTGGTGTTTAAAAGGTTTGACTACTACTCTCTTATCCCATACACTAGCAAATCTTCAGGTTAAGGTGGATTGGAATTTGCTTGGGGCATAGTGGCTGGGAGGCCTTAACCTTATAGCTATTAGCCGTGAATATATCCTGTTCGATTGTACTTGGACCTTAAACGTTTTAATAGATTTATTCAGCATGTTTGTCTGATTTACCTCTTGACAGATTAAGGAGCACTGCCATCAGAATAACACTTTGAATTGAAAGGAATCAACTTTTTAGTTGAGTGTGGCTTGGGTTACGTACTTATGTTGGATGGTAGCATAAAATGGGTGAAGAGAAATAGAGATAAAGTGTAGCAAGAAGAGTACCCTTCTGAATCTTATGTGGATTTCTTATGATGTTTGTGAACAGTAATGCTGAATCATAAAATATGCTTTATCAGTGTCTTGGTTAGAGGTAGCTAAGAGATTGCGAAGGGTGAGGGAGGAGGTAAGAATGATATTGAAATGGTCTCCTAGAGTGTATCCCAAAACTGCTGTCTCTTGCTTTTCTGTATCTGGGTTTTGTATGAAACTCATGAAATTTATTAGCATAGGTGATGGTTTACCTTGATTATCTGCTTTTTTCTCTTAATGTGGTTCCTTTTTTTATTTTGGAAACTTTTCAGGTATGGCTTGGTCTTGGAAAAACAGTTCTCACAAATATATCCAAAATCCTAAGCTTGGCCATATCCAGGTTTTAGAGTACACTGGTCTTATGTAACCCAAAGACATGTTTCCCCTTTAAGTTAAAAACTTATCTAAACGCAGTAAACAACTGTTTTCCAAGACTTCCCAAAACTCAACTTATGCCAAAAAAACATTCCAGGAACTCAACAAAAAACTAACTCAGAATGTTTTAACATTTGAATGGAGAAAGCACAATTCGGAGCCCTACAGCAATCCGTCTTGTCAAGTTAGTGCCCTTGAATGCTGTTTAGCATCTCGTTTTTAGTTATCAGCTCTGGAGCATGTAGAAAGTGCAGTAAATTTATTGGTCCTAAAGATACCGTAATTGCCTATGCTTAATTATCAGCTGGGGTCTAGGTTTATTTGTAATTGTTTCAATACTTTCAGGCCTTCTCTATTGGCCATGACTTACCACTTAATCCTGTTTATGTTTCCCTACTTGTTATTGTGAGATCTTAAGTGATTGAATGCTTTGATAATATAGGTCAAGTTCTGAGCCCTTGATTATTACTACTACTACTACTTCCTTTATTGCTAGATTTTCTTAAATGACTGAATGATTAGATAATATTACAGTAGTGTCCCGTTCTTCAAAATATCCATCATTTTAGAAGTGCATGTGAAAGAATGCAGACTACATTAACACTTCCCGTGGTATTACTCTGCAATCACATTACTAAATGATGGAGCTTCACTATCAAGTTTTAATAGTTGAATATTCTATTGTATCATTATTACTTCCTCCGTTTCAAAAAGAATGGTCTAGTTTGACTTGGAATGGAGTTTAAGAAAAGAAAGAAGACGTTTTAATCTTGTGGTTCTAAATTAAAGTTATGTCAAATGTACCAAATGTCCTTAATCTTGTGGCCTTATACATGCCACGTGGAAAGTTGAAGTTAAAGTGTTGCCAAAAAAGGAAAGGGATCATTCTTTTTGAAACAGACTAAGAAGGAAATTAGGACATTCTTTTCGAAATGGAGGGAGTAGTTGCTAACCCTGAGATTCATTATCCTGGAAAAAGAAAGTATTTTGGACTTTTGATGTTTTCTGGGAATCAACCTTTTGTTTTCTATGTATTCACCTTCAGCCCTCTGGTGGATACCAAAGCTTTTGGACGAATGCATGCTACAGATGCCGAATCTTTTGATTTGCATTCGTTTTACAGAGGGGTGTGTGAGAGCATTGTGATGAGACATCAATGAGATTTCTTCTCTTTTATTCTTTTTCTGTGGTTTGAACATTGGACATGGTAGCATTTGGTTTATCACCATAAACGATGCAGATTTTGGCGTCCACCAAGCTCACAAGTCACAAAGACCAGGAAATTGAGCTCTTCGTCAGTTTTCCTTTTCTTTTTACATAGCAGAACTGTTTTAAGTGATAGGTTACATGCAATTGTTGCAACTATGCTGGCTACATCAGTAAAGGGGATAGCCATAATCCATAGCATATACAATCGACCTTCCAGTGGTGATTTGCAGCACAACAGTGCCTGGCACTGCGCATTAAAAATTCTGTTATTTATGGTCCATCTAAGAAATAATATTGATTTGATTCTTTTTTCAGATGTGAACTTGTGGATGGGCCTGTTTGGATAACATTGCCTCCAATTTATTAGAGTTGTGTCTATATGGCCACCAAAACGGGTATGATCAGTTTCATTCTTCTAGTATTCTTTTGTTTCTGTATTTCACACGTAAGCAAAGAAAGTAAGAAAAAATGAGCTCTTCATAGTTCTTTTTCTTTATTTAGTGCCGAATTTTCATACATCATCAGGGCGATGGTATATTTACAACTGATAATGTTGCCATGAAAGTCCCCATATCTACCCAGGGGCTTGAGAAATATAAGTAACATACATCTCTTCACTCTTCAGATACTCTTATTTCTGCAGTGCAGCATACCGTCTCAATGGTGTGATCTGTAGAGGAGGATGGTGTTGAACCGTACAAAATTCCTAAACAACTGTTGGCGTTTTACGCTTAATGTGCCGAGATGTCAACTCTGACTCCGTCCCTCCAAGCATTTCCCACATCACCTGTACATCTTCATATCCACAGGACTGTATATCGCCTTGAAGCTTCAATAATCCAGCACCTGATGTAAACAAAAGTAAGTAATCCATAAAGCTACTATCTCTATGTTTTTCACTCTGTTCCTTAAGACTGTCCAAATTCTTTGCATCCTAAGTGCCAAAATTTATGAAGTTACAAGTTTCTCTTCTACCCTAGCTTAGTGATAACTTATATTCCTCCGTCCCAATTTATGTGACAATATCTAAAACAAACACATCTTTAAAAAGTTAGATTGTAGAAAAAACAGGGGGAGAGGCTTTGAAAAACTAGTGCATCTATATTTAGCTTCTTCCTATATGTTCATTAAATCAAGAGTAAGAGAAACACCAAATGCGAGTAAGTTTTTTTATGACTAACCATCTTTACGAGGCTTGACACGAGCAGAAACAGCACCCCAAACACGTCTAACCGGAAAGACCATTTTTTGCCACAAATCCTCCATCTCCTCTCCTCTACTCCTATGTTTGGTTGAAAATGAAAGGGTTTATAGTGCTCTTTGTTGCAATAAAGAATGTAATGACTAGAGACTAATAAAGGAGTGATGTGTTCCTTCCACTCTTGAGTCTTGATGTGGGGTTTCACAAAAGCAGATGAATTAGTGATATTGACACATATATATATGGGAAAATAGGGATGTATATGTTTGAATATTCTAATAACTCTATAAAGTATGCAGACAAAATTTACCCCAATTTAGATTTGATTTTTTTCACTAAAGAAATAAAAAATATTCACCGACGCGACCGTCACAGTGCTTGTGTAAGAGATATTTTAGTGCCACGAGTCACTTGTGTTGTGGCTGCGCAGGATTGTCTTAGTTATTATTTGGACCGTCAAATACGTTTGAAATATTTTGAATTGTTATAGTTTCTAAATATTTCAATTTTATTTTGAAAAAATATTGACGATACTTTTTAATTGTCATGGTTTTTTTTTTTTAGAGTCAAACTATAAAAACTTTGACTAATATTTTACGATGTATTTTTTCATTATATTGATATGCAAAAAAATTGTAATTTATAGTATTTTTCATATAATTTTTTAATATCTAAATTTTTTATTTAAAATTAAATTAATGTAATCTAATTTAACATTGAAATTAATTAAATTAACTTTTGAAAAAAGTAACATAACAAATAAAAATGAATGAAAAAAATATATTTGAATTAGTTTAATTCTCGCGGAGACCATCATTTTGGGATGGAGGGAGTATTTTCTGCTAGTGCTCGTCTTTTGACTTCTTTTCATTCAACACATGTCATGTTTTCAGTGGGAAAGAGAGAAGAAAATGGCACCTTTATATTATAATTATAATTAGAAAAATTGTGTGGTTTGGACGGTTTGACTCTTTAGATTTTTGTGCCTCAAATCGAGAGAACATTATTAGTGAGCCTTTTTCTGAAAGAACATTATTTACATGCGTTATTTATCCCAAATATAGTGAAATAAATATTAAGATTTTTTTTTATAGCATTGGCAATTTAATTTTGTTATATTTGGTGTGAGTAGGTTTGGAGTTTGGGTCAGCTAATCAGACCAAGATTCCTAATTCAAGAGATGGAAAAGGAAAGGAGTGATAAGAAGGTCCCAATGAGAGAGATATTTTTGTGTATTGAAGAATACGTGGAGTCTTTTTGAGGCTCTATTATTATTACAACTTTCCCGTACTGTCAGCAATGGGGTCTACCTCCACGTTTTAATCAATTTTTTCGATGGATTTTAGTTTATGCATTTAGTAATCGCTCGGCGTGAGATATATGGTTTAATAATTTTAAAATATAAAATATAAAATTATTTTATCTTGTGTTTGGTTGGAGATATTATGTAGTCTTTAGATTGTTTATCTCATTATTTATATTATAGTGATAAAATAACTTATCTCATATACATGATGAAATAACTTACATGTATTGATGATCAAGAGGTTTGATTAAATTTCTCTTTGTTAAAAGATTACATAATACAAATAAAGTAAAAGTAGATAGATTATATTTTTGAACCTTTTAAGTATATAGTCTTACGTACAACTCAAATGATGTAAAATTTAATGAGCAAACAACATAATTTCACTGGTTTAGGATCTAATTAGGCGTTCTCGCTTTATTTTTCAAAATTATCTTCACGCCACATTTATTTCGCTAGATATATGTATATGACACATACAAGTCAAATTAGGTACTCCCTTCATTTCAAATTAATTGAATTGTTGAGGTGTTTCACACTCTTTAAGGGAAAAAAAATTAAGACATAAATTAGGCATAACTTTTCATTTTTATCCTTATTAATTATTGTCAAATTTATGATTAAAATAACTAAATATTAATTAATCATTAGTTTCAATACTAACTAATGAAGGGTAAAATTGGAAGAACACTCTAAAATTAGTCTTGAAACCTGAACAATTAAGTTAATTTAAAAAATGAAAAATGTATCAACAATTCAATTAATTTGAAATGGAGAGACTAGGAAGTAGTATAATTTATGTTAGATATATTGTATCCAAGCGTGATGATAATTTGGAAGAGCTTGGATGGAGGTTAGTTTGGTCCAAAGCCGCGGTAATCAGCCCAACTATAGCATGCGAGTGTGACAATTCAGTCCAATTAGAGCGTTGGCTTGGAAAGAAACAGCGACCCATCATGAACCATGTTGTTTAAAATTAAAATTTATTTTCTAGCTCATTAGCAATGTAATTGATGGACTTAATTTGTACAGAAAAAAAACATTGAATTTGAAATAGATATAATCGAAGGTGAACTGAAAAGATTGATTTTTTATTTATTTTGGTGGTGTCACTAAGCCCGGGATCTCTATGGTTTTTCTAGTTTGGTTATTTATTATTTTATTTATTTTTCTAAATCATCATTATAAGGTTAAATTGATCTATTTATTTCCCCTCACTTTGATATGTTGTATGAAGGTTATGATCATAGTTAAGCAATTCTAGTTGTGCTTTGTCTAGATGATTACATTGGATTTCCTTCCGGCATGTTATTTTAGTGAAAACATTATAAGGGTGTGCAGACTCTAGCTAGTATTCTTTTTAATAGTCTAAATTGTTTACATGTCATGTTTTCATTGGGAAAGAAAGAAAATCGCACTATAGTGGCAGAAATGAGGATGCTCATATGGATTAGTAGGCATACTAAAAGCAATAAAATTAGAGTGAAGATATCCAAGCAAAGGTGGAAGTGGTCTCAGTTATGAAAAAGAAGAGGGAAGCGAGATTGAGATGATTTGAACATGTGAAGAAAAAAAGCTCAATTGAGTAGGTGCGAGAGATTAGATATGGTGGGTATGAGGAGAGGCTGAGGTAGGTCGAAAAAATATTGAGGAGAAGGCTATTAGACATGACATGACGCAACTCCACCTTAGACAGGAGGGTGTGGAGGTCGCGAATCAAGGTAGAAGGTTAGTAGATAGTGGAGTGTTCTATTGCTTCCTGAAGGGTTAAGCTTAGTGGTGTATGTCGTAGTATTAGTTTCATTCTTGTAGTATCTTGCTTTTGCTAATTCTACCACCATATGGTTTTATGATATTTCGATTATTACATTGTTTTGTTGTTGTTGTTACTGCTTCCGTAGTAATTGTTATATTTTGACGATCTTCCAAAAAATGTGTCTCTATCTTCACTAGATAGTGATAAAGTCTACACATACACTACCCCTCCCCTCCTTACGTAGACTTTCGCCACTATTGTTATTGTTGACAGATAGTCAGTGACGGAATTAAGTATAAAAAGAAGGGGCTTGATTGAATTCTTTTTATTAAAAGATTACAATACAAATAAAGTACTCCCCTGTCCCTAATTTCTTGTTCATTTTTTAATCGACACACCTATTAAAAAAGCAATTATTGACATAATGAGTTTACTATTTTACCTCTACTAATTATAGTATGAAATGGATGGATTAAAAATTTAAGATTTTCAAGAAATTCTATCTTTTCAAAGTAATTAATTGAGGGTATAATAGGTAAAACTATTTTGTCCTTTCTTGATTTGTCAAAATGAACAAGTAATTAGAAACAACTATAAAAGAAAAAGTGAGCAAGTAATTAGGGACAGAGGAAGTAGTAGATTTGAATGTTTCGTTTTCGATATGATTTTTTTTCATCATTTTGTACAATATTTGGAGTTTGTGTGGTTTATTGCGCGCGCGCACACAACAATCCCGTGACAGTACCAAAGAGGAGTAGAATATAAAGGAATTGAAAAATACATTATTATATACGTATTAATTATTAAACAACTTTTTATTCATTGATATTAATGAACGCCAGACAAAGCTGAAGCACTTCTACTGTGTTGTTTCATCCACAAGCATATACTTGAATAAATATTTAAATGAGGAAGCGCCAACCACCCTCTGTATGAGATGTTAATGTGAAAGTAATACAGCTCTTGCTGGCTGCCAGTGGAGATCCTTAATTCAAAATGTTCTTATTTTTCATGACCTTTTGAAGCACTACAACAGGAAGACATAACCTAGATAGTGCTGTGATAGAGCTGGTTGCCAATCTTAACAAGTCCAACATATTCTCAGCAGGCTGAGGATCAGGACAGAATATTAGCATGCACAGGATTCTCTGAGGGCGCACTTCCTATAAGATACTCAGAACAAATCATACTTGATCCAAGAATTTATCATATGCTGGCAGGCTGCAAAAACTAAATGCAGTGTTACTTTCTACCTACAACTTTTGGGGTGTTGTGTTTATTCTGCCCCAAAAAGTGTGCTGAAAGGTGGGCAGGAAATGTAGAGACTTACGTATGGGGAAGTACTGAGAATATAAGGAATATGGCACTAGTATCCCGGGATAAGATCTGTGTACCCAAAATGTATGGAGGACTTAATATCAAGAGTTGCAGGGCATAAAACATTGCTTCAGTGGGTAAGTTGGGTATGTTGTTGTGGTAACTGACAACCAAAAAGGATATGTTGTGGGTTAAATGGATGAATACAGTGTATATCAAAGCTTCTGGAGACATTTGGAATCACACACCACCACAGGATTGTAGTTGGTATTGGAAGAAATTGAATTCTCTTAAAGAATTCTCAACTAGTCGAGGGTCTTTGGGAAACCAACTCTTTAACTCCCCGAGTTAGGGATAAGATCTGCACACACTGGGTATGTTGTTGTTATTGTCATAGATGATGCTCAACTGGTACCACAGGGGGAATTATAAACCGACTCCTAAGGGGACCTACTCAGTGAACTGTAGTTTCTTAGCTATGCTGGGAACTATGACTAAAATGAAGGAGGCTGATCTGATGTGAAGTTCAATGATGCTGCCAAGGCAAAGGGTGATAGTTTGGCTTGCCTATCAAAACAAGCTACTCACTAAGGATTAAGGAAAGATTCCAAAGGCTACACGTTCCAGTTGATGATGATTGTTTCTGTTTATGTGATGATCATGTCATAAGAGACACATTGTCACCTGTTTGCAAGTGGATTTCAGAAGTCATAAATGCATTGAATAACTGAGCTGCAAAGGAAAGATACTTAATGCACGAACAAACTCGCCAATGTCTTATCTGGAACATTTGGAACGGATCGACTTCTCCTAATCATCAGAAAGCTCCAAGCCTGACTTTTACAGTTGCACCATTGTCATCTCATTCACCTGATGCCTAAAGGGAAAAAAGCATAATTGAAATAAATTACATGTTTATCTTCTTTCATCAGATATCATACTTATTTTCACTTTATGTCCAATAAGAGCCTGTTTGCATATGTCATATAGTTTAAAAGCAATGAAGCATCAGATAGAAAAGGTTCATTGCCGCACTTGCAGCTGCACATCTATGATTTATTCATACAAAGACTAATGCAATAAACATGCCTAAATACACAGAATTAATTTGCATATGGTTGTTTCTCTGCTTCAGAAGCATCAGGGTGGAATATGCTCCATGCACGGATAAACTCGCCAATGTCTTTTAGTTCATCATTCTTGGAGTCAAACATCTATTAAATAGAAGTAAAAAGTCCTTACTGTAAGCAAGAATTCAAAAAATGCACATAATAACTGCTGTAGCATTGTTCTATACACCTGTTAAACAATGCAGTTAAAGTCGACATCAGCTCACCCTATCTGGAAAAATGTCTCTAGCTCTGAACAATTCAAGTTCGAACTCTTCTTATCCAAAGCCAAACACTTTGTTAGCTTAGCTCATCTTATTAGGACTCAGGCTTCCATTTCAGCATTAGAATTCTCCCCAATTGCTAGACTCCTAAGTAAGGTCATAACTTATTCACTGCTTTGAGAGATTTTGATTGCACTGATACAGGAGAGGATTGGACAGCTTTAAAATACATTGACCTTAAAGCTCAACTTCATAACATCGATAGTGATGTCATACATTTAAACTTAGCTAGCTTTTGATTGAAGCGTAATTGCTAAATACTTGGCCGATAATTATTAGAATACTGGTCAATGAAGTGGTTGAGAACCATAAAGTCTCAGGTTCAAAGATAAAAAAACACTAGGTGATTTCTTCCGTGCATCTGTCCTAGTCTTGGTGGACAAAGTTACCTGATATATGTTGCTAGTGGGAGGTGACATGTATCCCGTGGAATTAGTCGAGGTGCGCGCAAACTGGCCCAACACCACTGTTATAAAAAAAAATACTACTCCATTAGATAACTTTTTCCCTTAAGACTAGAGAGCAAGAATATTTCCAAAACACAAAGGTTCCCCAAAAAAATTAGGCATGTTAATGTCATGCAGAAATGATCAAGGTGATTCAATTTAAATTTTCTCAAAAATAGTGTGCCCTTACTTGGGTTTTCAGAAGATTCAGGAAACAATGAAAGAACTCTAACTTACTGCAAGTTCGAAAATTGTTGCAGCAGACGCCAGAGTTGAAAAATAAAGAGCATCATATACCAAATTAATATCCAAGGAAACCACTTAAGCAAGTATGTACTTTGTACCAACTACCAAGGGACTTAAAGGTGCACAAGATTCACAAAGTGCCAGCAAATTTGAAAGAAAACTAGTACCTAAACAAGCAACAAAGGAGACCGGAGGAGGACCTTTCTATTACTCCGTATGGGTACTCCTCCCTAAATTTCCATTCCATCTACACACATGGCATTTTGTTAAACAAATTGTTAGTGCGGTTGGAACTCCCCTGGAAATGGATACGGCCACTAGAGGAAGAACAAGGCCGAGCATGGCCAAAGTGCGTGTTGCAATTGATTTGTTAAAGCCACAATTAGAATTTGTCTATGTTGGTTTGACTCACGAAAACTCTCCTCAAATTAAATTAGAATACGAGGGCATTCCAAAGTATTGCAAGTACCGTAAAAAACTTGGCCACTTGATGATCAATTGTAGAGTGATGGAAAGGAAGAAGCAAGCTGAAGAAAAAGAGGAAGAGTTTAAGAATAATAAGGAGCAAATGGCTACTGATAATACTACAAAGCAGGACCATGAGGACATTCATGAAGCTGGTATAGATGACTACAAAGATAATGAGGAAAATGAAACAGTCAACCAAGGCACAAGAAGTAGGTAGTACTATCAATGAGGTTAATAACCAGATGATCTCTGCCACAGAAAATCCCTCCATCAGAGATAGAACCAAAACAGAAAATGCCTAAGAAAAAATCCAAAGTCATTGTCAAACCACGTTCAGTACAAAACACTGTTAAGAGCAAGAAAAGAACTATCCTTTCTGAAAATAATGATGGTACTCAGGACGATGGGAATACTCCTAAAGAAAATAACAACGACGAAGAGCAAGTTGAGCAAAAGAAATGAGACGTATAAGTTGTGGAGCAGAATGAGAATAATCAGGAGATGGTTCAAAAGGATGACAATGGTGAGATCAATGAAGCCGAAGCTAGCACCCGTGCTAACAGTCTTCAAGAATCCGCCAAGGAACAAGAAAACAAAACTGATGATATTAATGGTACTGATACATTTGTTGATAACACTAACAAGATTCAAAGTTCTGAGAGCTTAACTTCTATTATCAAATCCATGCCGGGATTGAATTTGGTGGTTGACCTTAACTCCAAATTTGTTTTAAACCAAGACAAATTCAACAATAACTTGGCAGCTGACTTCAACACTGGAAAGGTTTCACACCGGGACAAATCCAACAACAAATTAGTGACTGCCCTAAATGCTGAACAAGTTTCAAACCATGACAAAGTTGGCAAGATCATAAAAGAAACAACACCACAAATTGAAGCGGGATCAAGCAATGAGCAGATAAAAATTCAAGAAAAGAGAGGGAGGAACAGAACATGCTGAAATTCAACTAGAGGTCACATCTCCTAATAGAGTCACTGTTATAGTTCCTGATGAACAGATACAAACAGAAATGCATTACAAGGAGGACGTTGACGATCAAGGCTTTTCTCCAGTTATCAAAGGAAAAAATCAAAAACAAGAAGTATGAAAAGAAGAGCAAGGAAAATGGTAACAACCCTGCCAAGGATAGGGATACAAAAATCAGTCTCAATAACCTTTATGTTTAGTGTCATTTACTAGAACATTAGGAGAGTGAGAACCAAAAATGCTTTACCCAGACTTAAGAAGCTTAATCCAGTGTCAGGACAAATTCCACTTGTAGCATACTTTCAAATGTTTAATAAACCTTTGTCACCCACAGCGCAAGAGTTGTACAAATTGAGCTTTTGAAGTGCAGTATACTGAAATTAGCATGTTCACATCCATGAAAGAAACAAAAGTCTTTTAGAGCATTTCGCAGAGAAGGAATAACCCAGTTACATAAAGTTAAAGAAACTGCAATAGTCAAATAACCTTCTTGAAGCAAGACTTGACGCAGAAAAGTAAAGCTACAGATATATCTAAATATTTAACACTCAAAGGACAACAAAAGAAAGGGTTGAATGGGAAATTAATTCAACAGTAGCAATCATGACACCACGTATAGGCCTTCATTCATCTGAAAAACCTTGCAAAGAAAAAATCCATTGTAATTTCAATTTGTGCAGAGCTTCAGTGCCACCTTATAGGCCTCATTCCTAATGAGAAAGAAGTTGGGGCCATTAAAGATATTAGACCTATTATCCTCCCGGCGGTATGTACGAAATTCGGTTAGAGGTTCACACAGAAAGACTAAAGAAAGTTATGGGTAAACTAGTTGCAGGAAATCAAAATGCATTCATTAGAAGAAGACAAATCTGTCATGGTGGTTAACAAATATGTTCATTTAAGACTGAGACAGAAAGATCAACAGTGCTTTGCATATTACATTTTATAAAAGTGTATGAACACATGAATTGGGCTTTCCTTTTTAAGTATGCCGGATAAGATGAGGTTTTGAATATCGCTGTGACAATTAGTTATCAAAAAGAAATTTTATGTGATCACTAATGCAGCTCCAGAAGGCTTCTCTCCCCCATAAAGAGGCTCGAGACAAGGCTTCACCCCTAACTCGATATGTCGGTTTGGTGCGGTTTGTGTTTTGGTTCTGTTCACCCCTAAGTAGAGCTAAGAGTCGAGCCATCTCAGCTCGTTGCCCAGGCCTCATGTTCTTTTTGCTTACTATTGGCCAGAAATTCTGTAAACTGGCAGACAGCCTACATTGTAAGGTGGAAAAGCTTCCTACCGTGTATTTGGGCTTTCCTTTAGGTGCAAAGTCTACGGATAAAAGAATGTGCAAAAATGTCATACAGAAATCTGAAAAGAAAATTAGTGCCTTGTAAGAAGAAGCATATTGGAAAGAGTGATCACAAGTAAATATGGTAAAGGAAATGACTGGTGCACTTACCAGTTAGTCCAACTTATGGATTCACAGCTTATAGAAACATAATATCGGAAGCCCATGGGAGGAATCCTTGGACAAAATTTAAAAAAAAACAGGCAATGGAAAAAGAGCAAATATCTGGTAATAATAAAATATGATCATTACATGGAATGATGGAAAGTACATTCTCTAACGTATAAGGGCAGGAGATTACAATGAAAGCACTAGAGCAGAGAACCTATGTGGAGGGAACTGGAAATTCCTGTATAAAGAAGAAGCAATGACGGAGAGATTAGTAGAGTGAATCAACTGATAGAACTCCTCAAGCATGTTAATCAAAGTGGTAACCTGCAATTGATGGAAATAGGGATAGTAGTTTTCAGTAAGATCACGCTATAGCTTGCAAAGAGAAACAGTTAGGGAACAGCTGCAAGAGGACTTACCGATTTGGAAAACAAAAGCACCATCAAAAGTGGCTTGGCTGTGGATGGACTGCAGTACATATTGCATGCTTAAACTCAGGATAATTTGCAAAAAAGAAGTTAGATACATATGGCAGGGTCTATGGATGCATTAGACAGCCAGCAAGAATGAGGAAGGAACAGAGAACAATCAGGAGAACTCATAGATGCTTAAAAGGAAAGCAAAAGACATATCTTTGTAAACTATAGATGTCTACAAGATTATAATCTTAGGGTGTTGTTAGTAAGATCAATTATTAAAAAAGTTTCAGTTGCTAATAAGATACTTACCAACTACTGCAGTTAACAATTGAAGCATGGATCAAAGCAAATTCATTAAAGTTACTAAACTTTGTAACTAGCAAAATGGGATGCAAGAATCAAATGTAGAGTTAATATTTGCAAACTGAATCTCATAAGCCTCAACCATTTTGAGAAATCACAACTAGAATTGCTTAAACATGATAACATTCATACAACATACTAAAATGAAGGAAAATAAATAGATTAATTTAACTTTATAATGATAATTTGTTAAAAACAATGATAAATAACTAGCTAAAAAATCAAAACAAAGAGATCTCATGAGCTGCCATATGATGGTGCGGAAGTAAAACCGCATTATGATCCGAATGATGGGTTAACCCATGTTGGCGGGCAAACAGGACTTAGTGACACCCCAGAATAAAAAGATTCAACCTTTCCATTTTCAAAATTGTAAACCCCCATATCTTTTCCACCACCTGCTTCTAAGGCGAAATAGCTCTCAAACACATCATCTGTAAAGTAAATGTGATTAGGTTTCAGCCCTGTAACCATAGCAGTTGCTCCATTACGTCCCAAAAAAATTGTTGAATCTCCCAAAGTATTAATCTCATTCAATTGATCTTTGATTACATCTATTTCAAATACCTTAAACTTAATGGTTTCATAATCACTAGTATATGTGTTATTCAAAAATCGAATAAGAAATAACAGTGCACCCGATATCTCAACAAAGTAGTATTGAGTATCTGGTTGATGTAATATAGGATCTATCAGACGAGTAAGCCGGCGCGGCTCTACAATTGGTTCAGGAATGCTACAGCCGGGAACATCAAAAACCCATAACTCGCCATGATAATTAAAAGCATAAAATTTCCCCTTATGGTGAAAGAGACTGTTGAATCTAGCCTTTCTTCTCATGACAATTTTAGTCCAGTTGACGTCTCCCGGTCGCCAAAAGGCGAGATCACCTCTACCATATGTAAGATCGGAAATCACCAAAACATAATCTGATGTAAGAGAAGGATTGGCAGATAAGACAGCTTTGTCAATAGTGTAATGAGTTATTTCTGCGTCTTTCTGTAAAGCCTCCTTTAGGGCATTTTGTGGAGGAAGTTGAATTTGGGTACGGGAGAAAGGATGAAACAAGTTAAATTCTCCTGTACATGAGTCTGTGAACATCCAACCTCCCTCTGATGGAAAACATCTTCGCCCTCTAATTTCTGGGAGAAATATGCGTGAAACTTTGTGTTTTGAAAGAGAGTAAAATTCTCGATAATCATCATCTTTATCTGCTAGCATAAGCAATGGAATTTGTTGGGAGGATACATCAAAATTATCTCTTGTGGCAGCAGTTCGCCATGAGATACAAACAGCACCAAAAGCAATAAAATCTTCAATCACTTTGACACGCTCGGCAACTGTACTAATGAGGTCGGATGGCAATTCTGACAAGTTCGCCATATAAATATAGTTAAAGAAGAGGCTACAAAGGGGCTTCTACGGCAAGAATAACCAGAGGAGAATGGTAATTGGCAAGGGTTTGGAGAGGATTTATATAGGCAGACGTGATAACAAGAGGCAGTATAATGAGTAACATATTCTTAGACTGACAAGGATTTGGAAATACCATAGATCGACAAGTTTAATGTTCCTTTTTAAACAAAATTGCCTAATTAGACGTAAGTACTAATCCAATTTCTATTGGGAAAACTACACAAATTGAAATCATGAGCTAAAATATTTATTTAAATTGGATTTAACACAATATATTTATTCTTCATTGAATCACTGTTTCTTCAGCCCTGATACCGTCAGAGTATATATTACTCTAATAGTATTTATATATTCAGATGATATATGGGGAAAAGGTCTGAAATATATTCGAACTTTGATCGAAATTGTTATAACAATACTGAACTTTGGAAAGGACCTTTTACCCCCTGCATAATTTAATAGTGTATTTTAAAGGTATATATGTGTCTATATGAACATCATAAATATTGCATCATTATAAATAGTAATGTGTCACGTGGAACTGGAACCATATATACCTTTAAAATACACTATTAAATAGTGCATGGGTAAAAGGTCCTCCATAAAGTTTAGTATAGTAACAACAATTTCGGCCAAAGTTGAAATATTTTTCAGGCCCTTTTTACATGATATATCAAGCAATAATTGAGCACTATTTTTCACTGAATCAATTCATGTTCTTGAGTAGTCTTTTCACTCAAGTACTGCTTCTTCGATTTTTTCTCTTTGATATCATCACAATATATATATATATATACACTTTGATAGTATCATATTATGATTGTATCAAGCAGTAAACATGTATTAGTAGTTAAAACATGTATGAAAATAAAATTGTAGCCACTTATAAATAGTTTCCCTTGTAGGGGTACAATTTTTTTTTGCCATTTATATTTTCAAATAATTTCTTATTATTCCACTATTTTTTTTTTCTCTACAAATTAAAGTTCAGCCAATAGGTCAAAAGGATTATATTGCTAATCATTTAGAGGTCGTTAGAGCATATAAGAATAATGCTAAATAAATTGTATTAGTAATGTTTGTATAACAATGTATGTATTAGTTATGCTTGCATTAATTACACATAGAATATTTTTATGCATTAAATATAACATGCATTAGAAAAAATATTCACAAATATACCCTCAACTATTATAGTGGAAAAAATGTATAAAAAAAAAAGGTTTTGGTGAATAATTGGGTCTTTAATCGTGCTAGTGCATGCATTAAAACCATTCATTGTTAATACCTAGAAATCCATGGTATTAATAATAAATACCTTAATACACAAAAGAATGTATCACTAATACATAGGTTAAAAAAAAGTATCATAAAAGGTATTAATAATACATAAAGCTAATACATTCATTATTATTATTCTAATATACTCTATCAAACGACCCCTTAGAGATTGGATTTGGGTCGTTGTTTCTTTCCAAGAAAATACTGTAATTGGACCTCATTGTTGGGTTGAATTTTATAATTGGGCTGATTCCCACGGCTTTGGACCAAACTAACCTGATCCATTCCAAAATTGGCTTATTTCAAATATATACAATAAAGTGTAATAAATTTATATATAAAAAAATATAGTCATGTTTTTATTTATATAAACAATAGTTAAAAGCCATAAAAGTATACTCAAAAAACTTAATATAACTTATATATACATGAGTTATGTACTGACTATACATTACGATACACTCAAAAAATTGAATATAACTTAATTAAACATGAAGTATACACGGGCTATACATGAAATATACATTGATTTTTTAATCCCGATCAACTCAAAATCATCTCTAAACAATTCCAAATTTCAGATATGGAACCTCTCAATAGTTTTAGGATTTGTTTTTTGCAGCACCAATAAAAGTCTGATTGTTTTAGAAATCCATTCAAACTCTGCATACACATCAAATCACATTTCTTCTGGTGAGAACACCATAGGAAGCATCATGTTATTAACAATGACTAATGTGTACAAAACTCGACCAAGGAAAATAAATCCAAATCAGAAAATTGATTGAAACATTTAACCATCAAAGGCTCGTGATTGTACAAACAACCATGAAATGAAAATATATTATTGACTTTAATCCTATTCAATGACTAGAAATTCCAATACACTTAATAAATTGAGGATATAATAGGAAAAATAATTATTTTTTCTTGACTTGTCAAAAATGACAGGTAAAAGAGAAATCAAATTAGAAATTATTTGACAAGTAAATAGGGATGGAGGGAGTATATTAGTAAAAATGTCATTCTTATTTATGATTTCTTAAAAAATGTCTAAAAGAAAAGTGGACAATTAATATGAAACACGGTGTAGTATTATACATTTCAAATTGTTGGTTTTTTTTTTTTTTTACTTTTTCCATATTTTTCTTAAAATAGGAGTATATGACCATGGTACTGTGTTATATGGCAACCGGGCCTGATTGAAACGACCAAGCCCAAAAATTTACCTAGTTTCAGGCTTATCACCTTGTAGCCCACAAGTTTAAAGTCTAATTATGTTTGTTTTGTAAATTATCTTCCCTATAATATTTACTTCGTCAAACACATGTATCTGCACACTCAAATACATGTATAATGTATCTAAGATAATGCAGATCAAATAAGATGTAATTTATTTTAGTTACACTGTTTGAGTTGCGGGTCAATTACCCTGTGTTCTTAAATAATAATGAATGATGTAAATTCATGTGTTGTTACATTTATTTATTAATCTTTGTTCTAAAAGCACCTTTTTATTACTTCTATTCGAAGTTTTTGTAAAAAGAATTGGAATCTACGTCCAATTTCAAATTGAGGTGCTCAAGAGTCATTGTGTTTGTGTTTGAGTATATGATTTAAGCTTAAGGTTTAAAATAATTCTTTTAAAACTAGTTAGTACACTTTGGCTTAGAGTCAAAGCTTCCCATCTTTTCAAATTTGTGATCATGTACACTATGATTCTCATTTCTCAATATGTTGAGGTTTGTTTTATAGTTTTCTGACTAATCATGTAAAGATAATCAATTGATCCTCTTTAATAATCTAGGAATGGCTAAACAGTTGTTTTTGTTTAATGAGTCGAGTTGAAAATAAATAAATACTCCATCTGTCCCTAATTACTTGTCCACTTTTGAATTGACACACCTATTAAGAAAATAATTAATGACATAGTGAGTTTACCATTCTACTCATATTAATTATGAAGTGGATGAAAAGTTCTACATTTTTCAAAATAATTAGTCATTTAATTGAGGGTATAATAGGTAAAAAGAATTTGTCCTTTCTTGATTTGTCAAAATGGACAAGTAATTAGAGACAACTATAAAAGGAAAAGTGGACAAGTAATTAGGGATAGAGAGAGTAGTTTAGAAAACTTAATTTGAAGCTTATTTTTTGTTCTTTCAACTTGGCGCAAAATACTAAATTGACAGAGAATCGCTATTTAATTTTTTTTTTTTTTTTGAAAACGTTAATTAAATTCTAAAAGACTTAAACAGAAAAAGACTTTTTATTGAATCTATGAATCTAGATTGGAAACGTTATAGTTGAGCTAAGAACAGAAGGAACTTTCCAGAGAGAATTCATACTTTCATACATTCTCAATGTGTGATACATGTATATATACAAGAGTGAAACTAACTCAACAAACTGTAACTAACTCTGACTCATTTGTAACTAACTAATCTACTCGCATCACTAACACTGTAATGCATAATTATAACAACTAACAACTCGACTTAACCACTGGCACATTGACACATTTACTTAATTCCTTTACACCCCCCTTCAAGCTAGGTACTATGAAGATGTTCTTCATCCCTAGCTTGGACATAAGGTGAGAGTGAAGGTTCCTTCCAAGTGCTTTTGTGAGAATATCAGCAGGCTGTTCTGTAGAGGGTATATGAGCAGTAATCAGTAGCCCATCTTGAACCTTCTCTCTAATAAAATGACAATCAATGTCAATATGTTTTGTCCGTTCATGAAAAACAGGATTGGCTGCAATTTGGAGTGCTGAGGTGTTGTCTGAATGCAGTGAAACAGGAAGAGATATGCTAGCACCAAGTTCTTGAAATAATCCAACAAGCCACACTATTTCTGCTACAGTTGAGGCCATAGCTCTGTACTCAGCCTCTGCTGAATTTCTAGACACCGTGAGTTGCTTCTTTGACTTCCAAGAGATAGGTGACCCTCCATGTTGAATTATATAACCTGTAACTGATCTTCTATCATTGATGCAAGAGCCCCAGTCTGCATCGCAAAATACTGTCAATACATTACTACCAGTAGATGACATTAAGATTCCCAAGCATGGTTCAGACTTCAGATACTTCACCAGTCGTAGTGCAGCATTCATATGTGATTCTTTGGGAGAGTGCATGAATTGGCTAAGGCATTATACAGTGAAAGAAATGTCTGGTCTAGTATTTGTAAGATACAACAGTCTGCCAACTAATCTATGGTATTTAGTGGGATCAACAAGTAAAGGATCATTGTGTGCAGATGGTATATGGTCATCATATGTAGTTGTAGTGAGCTGCAAATTTAACTCCATTGGGGTTGATACTGGCTTTCCCCCTGCCAGTCCCATGTCTGCAATAAGCTCCAAGGCATATTTTCTTTGGTGTATGAGGATACCTGCAGCACTTCTAGCAAACTCGAATCCCAGAAAGTACCTCAATTCACCTAAATCTTTGATCTTAAAAGCATGTTGTAGGGCTTCCTTAGTCTCATGTATCATGACAGAATCATTGCATGTAAGCAATAAGTCATCAACATAGATGAGCACTATCCCCCTTCAAGCTAGGTACTATGAAGATGTTCTTCATCCCTAGCTTGGACATAAGGTGAGAGTGAAGGTTCCTTCCAAGTGCTTTTGTGAGAATATCAGCAGGCTGTTCTGTAGAGGGTATATGAGCAGTAATCAGTAGCCCATCTTGAACCTTCTCTCTAATAAAATGACAATCAATGTCAATATGTTTTGTCCGTTCATGAAAAACAGGATTGGCTGCAATTTGGAGTGCTGAGGTGTTGTCTGAATGCAGTGAAACAGGAAGAGATATGCTAGCACCAAGTTCTTGAAATAATCCAACAAGCCACACTATTTCTGCTACAGTTGAGGCCATAGCTCTGTACTCAGCCTCTGCTGAATTTCTAGACACCGTGAGTTGCTTCTTTGACTTCCAAGAGATAGGTGACCCTCCATGTTGAATTATATAACCTGTAACTGATCTTCTATCATTGATGCAAGAGCCCCAGTCTGCATCGCAAAATACTGTCAATACATTACTACCAGTAGATGACATTAAGATTCCCAAGCATGGTTCAGACTTCAGATACTTCACCAGTCGTAGTGCAGCATTCATATGTGATTCTTTGGGAGAGTGCATGAATTGGCTAAGGCATTATACAGTGAAAGAAATGTCTGGTCTAGTATTTGTAAGATACAACAGTCTGCCAACTAATCTATGGTATTTAGTGGGATCAACAAGTAAAGGATCATTGTGTGCAGATGGTATATGGTCATCATATGTAGTTGTAGTGAGCTGCAAATTTAACTCCATTGGGGTTGATACTGGCTTTCCCCCTGCCAGTCCCATGTCTGCAATAAGCTCCAAGGCATATTTTCTTTGGTGTATGAGGATACCTGCAGCACTTCTAGCAAACTCGAATCCCAGAAAGTACCTCAATTCACCTAAATCTTTGATCTTAAAAGCATGTTGTAGGGCTTCCTTAGTCTCATGTATCATGACAGAATCATTGCATGTAAGCAATAAGTCATCAACATAGATGAGCACTATCACTAACTTGTCACATTTTCTCTTAGTGAACAATGAATAATCTCTATTACTTTGATGAAAACCTGAATCAGTCAAGGTGGAGGTGAGTTTGATATTCCACTGCCTTGAGGCCTGCTTAAGGCCATAAAGTGACTTTAGGAGCTTGCAAACCTTAGTTCCGTCAGACAGACTGTTAAAACCATCAGGTAGACACATATAAACTTCGTCAAATAAATCTCCTTGCAAAAATGCATTATACACATCCATCTGATGTATATGCCAATGGTTAGTTGCTGCTAGATAAATGACAGCCCTAACTGTAGCCATCTTGACTACAGGGGAGAAGGTCTCATGATAATCAAAACCTTCTTTCTGGTTGTATCATTTTGCTACCAATCTTGCCTTAAACCTCTCTACTGTGCCATCAGCATTATATTTAATCTTGTAAACTCACCTGCATCCTATAGGTTTCTTCCCATTTGGTAAGTTTATTAACTCCCATGTTTTGTTGTCTTCCAAAGCTTGGATTTCACACTTCATGGCTTCTATCCATCTAGAGTCTTGTGATGCTATTTTGTAAGTAGTAGGTTCTGTCTCAATGGAGAACTTTGAAACAAAACTCTGGTATGTAGGAGATAGATTGGAGTAATCTATATGAGAGGCAGTAGAGTAGAGGCAGTGAGAGGAACCTGATGTAGTTACATAATCCTTATGCCATTTGAGAGGTTTTATACTTCTAACTGACTTCCTGATTGAGACAGAAGGAGGTTCTATTGAAGGGACTACTGGAGAATTTTGTACAGGTGCAGAAGGGGAAGTAGTAGGAGAAGTAGCATTTATAACAGGAGGAATAAACATAGGAATATCAGGAACAGTAGAGAGAGCTGAAGCTAAATCATCATAAGCAAAAATGTTGGTAGTAGTGGACATCTGATCCTCAGAAATGGTTCCTTGAAAAGGAAAATTGGCTTTCATAAACACCACATCTCTGCTGATAAAGAATTGCTTGGTGTCTAAACTATACAACTTGTACCCCTTTTGAGTTGTACCATATCCCACAAGAACAGCTCTCACAGCTCTAGGACTAAACTTGTCATGTTTAGGTAGCACAGTGGCAAAACACAAACAACCAATAATCTTCATGTGGTCAAAAGAAGGAGGTCTGCCATATAACCTTTCAAAAGGAGACATACCAGCTAAAACAGTAGAAGGTATTCTATTAAAAACATAAACAGAAGCTTCAACACACAGCCTCCAAAACTTGTCGGGAAAACTAGCTTGAAATTTTATTGCTCTGGCAGTCTCAAGAATGTGTCTATGTCGTCTTTCCACCACACCATTTTGTTATGATGTGTATGGACAAGAACTCTCATGAATGACACCATGAATTTTAAAAAGATTATTGCAATGATGATTGAAGAACTCAGTGCCATTATCAGATCTCACCCTTTTAATTTTTGTATCAAACTGAGTTGCAATGTCTATAAAGAATTGTTTAAGAACAGTAATCACATCAGATTTAACCGTAATAAAAAAGTCCATGTCCATCTTGAAAAATCATCCACAATTGTCAGAAAATACCTCATCCCATCAAATGTTTCTGTTTTATAAGGACCCCAAACATCCATGTGCAACAATTGAAAAATACATGTAGATTTACTAGTGCTATGTGGAAATGGTAGTCTAGTTTGTCTGGCAAGAGGACATACTTCACAAATAACCAAACTGAACTTATCTCCAAGACTATGAAAGAAAGGAATCTTCCTAAGCACACTCATAGGAACATGACATAACCTCTTGTGCCAAACAACAACATCTGCTTGTGTTATTGCTAGACAACTTCGAGGTATTCTGCTTCTATCCCCTATTTGTGAACATATGGTGTATAGACCATTTTCCTCCTTACCAATCACCTTGACCTTCCCAGACAAGATGTCTTGAAAGACATAATATTGTGGATAAAACGTAACAGAACAGTTCAAATCTTTTGTCACTTGGGAAATTGACATAAGGTTGAACTGAAAACTAGGTACACACAAAACTTTTCGAAGAATATCACCTCCTCCAATGTGACAGTCCCCAATATGTAACACTTTAGCTAAGTCACCAGTTGGAAGTTGAACATGACCTGCATTGTCTAATAGGCCTTTATTGTGTAAAAAATTAGGATCACCAATCATATGATGTGAAGCACCAGTATCCACAATCCATTTCATGGAACTATCCTGGGGCAAGGAAAGGTTACCTGCCATGTTTGCAACACCATGAGAGTCATTAATGGATGTCTGATCCAGCATCCTTAGCAATTGTTGATGTTGGCCTGGTGTAAACATAGGCTGTGGCATAAGCTGAAAAGGCATGAGATGCTGATACTGAGATTGCTGGAATGATGGAGAAAGCATAAGAGGATAGTAATGTTGAGAAATAGAAGCTCATGCTCTTGCATCATATATTGAGTTTCCAGCTACAACAACATCCTTTTTACCTTTGTAGTGAGAAGGATAACCAATCAGTCTATAGCAGTCTCCTTTGAGATGTCCAGTCTTATGGCAAAAGTCACATTTCAACAGTTTAAGACAATCAACCTTCAAGTGACCTTTCATGTGGCAAAAATCACATGAAGCATTTGGATTATAAGCTTTCCTTGGCTTCTGAAGAGGTCTAGCAGTAAACATAGCAGTGGGATTTGAATTTTCTGGCATCATTAATCTACTTGAACTAACAACCATCTTTTGACTCTCGTCTTGATTAACCATGGCATAAACCTGATTGATGGTTGGAATTTGAGGCATTAATAAGATTTGACTCCTAGTTTGATAGTAAGAATCATTTAGCCCCATGAGAAATTGCAACATTCTCTGAAATTGTAATTGCTCAAAAAACTCCTTAGATTTAGAACAAGTGCAAGAAGATAAAGGCATTATAGAATCATATTCATCCCAGAGGTCCTTAAGTCTGGAATAATACACTGAGACAGAGGAAACACCTTGAACAAGCGTGAATATCTCCTTGTGTAATTGAAAAATACGAGAACTATTAACTTTGTTGAACCTTTCTTTCAAATCCTCCCAGATTAAGTGTGCATCTGAGCAGTAGAGCACACCACTGTGCAAATCCTTGCTGACATTGCACAGGATCCATGATACTACTATGGCATTGCAACGATCCCACAAACGACTCAAATCACCAGGGAATTGATCGCGTTTCACTGTGCCGTCAATAAAACCAACCTTATTCTTCCCAAGCATGGCCAATTGCATGGCTTTACTCCACAAAGTGTAATTGTCAGTTCCGGTGAGCATAATTCCAACATTAAGCGATCCCGGTGCATCTGACGGATATAGAAATAAAGGATGCAGGTGATCTATGGTTGGAACCATCATAGAAGATCCCGATTGTATCCTTGCATCGCTCCCAGTGACTGCCATTGAAGATTATGCAGAAAATAGAAAGAAAAAAAAACAGAGGAAAAGAGAAAACCTTCTCGAATTTGATCTAAAACACCTACAAATTGCAGAATCGATGAAGAAGAACTCTCGATCCAGTCCCCAATTGCTCTGATACCATGTTGAATCTATGAATCTAGATTGGAAACGTTATAATTGAGCTAAGAACAGAAGGAACTTTCCAGAGAGAATTCATACTTTCATACATTCTCAATGTGTGATACATGTATATATACAAGAGTGAAACTAACTCAACAAACTGTAACTAACTCTGACTCATTTGTAACTAACTAATCTACTCGCATCACTAACACTGTAATGCATAATTATAACAACTAACAACTCGACTTAACCACTGGCACATTGACACATTTACTTAATTCCTTTACACTTTTGAAGTTAAAGATTCAAGTAAGGGGCTCTGATGAGTGTGATGACCCTTAAAATAAGTTTTATGCATTTAAAAGTGTCCACAAGTTTATCATCGGATCATTTATTGGCTAATTTCAATAATT